CAATATATACCTGTTGTTTTAAGGTACCTTAGTGAACAGAATGACGAACACTTCAATACATACCTGTTGTTTTAAAGTCCCTTAGTGAACAGAATGACGAACACTTCAGTACATACCTGTTGTTTTAAAGTCCCTTATTGAACAGAATGTCGAACACTTCCATAAATACCTGTTGTTTTAAAGTCCCTTAGTAAATAGAATGACGAACACTTCAATATATACCTGTTGTTTTAAGGTCCCTTAGTGAACAGAATGACGAACACTTCAATACATACCTGTTGTTTTAAGGTCCCTTAGTGAACAGAATGACGAACACTTCAGTACATACCTGTTGTTTTAAAGTCCCTTAGTGAACAGAATGACGAACACTTCAGTACATACCTGTTGTTTTTTTAGAATATAATACAGTATAAACTGTTAATGCAATTGAGTTGCTTCTTCCTTTGGAGTTCGACGCATACAAAGCCAAGATAAAAGATGTTCCTAAAGGGAGATCATTCACTACAAACAAGGGTTGATCGTACTGAGTAATGTTCCTCTGTAGACGGTCAAGTGCAGCGTTAAAGACTTCCAAGTGGAACGCCTGCTTTAATCCTCCATTATATCCTGGTTCACATTTTATGATTATCCTAGTGGTCGATTTATTCGTGACTCCGCAGTTCTTTAAAGCTTCTGGGGGTCCTAATTGAAAGAAAACTATAACTTTTAATCCTGTCGTGTTGCCTTATCTCTTCAAAAAAAAGCTTTTACTTAACTTACATTAATCTGAAACACCTGATATAAAAAATTGTTTTAGCAGATCTTGTTAATATCTTCTAAGACTATTTCAAGTGAGGATCAAACGGAAGTTTTTATGATAAGCCAGTAGAGTCGAGATAAAGTATCCTATATCGTTATATTTTTCTGGTTGTCTTTTTAACTGTGCAAAGCTTCACGATGAGCTATCTGCACAATGTCTACAATGGGGAATCGAATCCGGGATTTGTAAATGCGTCAACTTACCGATTCCCCACCGGTTGACTTTATTATTATATTTTCTTTAATATTTCATATTAAAATAAATAATATTTATTAATTTTCAAATAATTTCTCATACTATTGTTATCGTATGAATGATGATGAACTTATTGGATGAAATTCCAACATTTGGTGATTTATTTAAATAGATATGTACTTCTACGTATTTTCTTTTCATGTTACAAAAATTAATTCATATTTCATATTGTACACGCAACCTATATTATTAAAAGGAACGAGTCAGTGTTTCAATATACTGCGTCTAACTGAACACTAAATGAAACAAAATCACGCAGGTTTTCATAAAATATGCCCCTAATTACGTCTACTAATAAGAAGTCGTTTTTAATTGCTATGTTTTTACAGTTTTCTATACATTTATAAAATTAGAATAAATATGAAATAAAAATAAGATGTACATTACATAATATCTGATCTCTCGTGTACCTGCTGGTATAATACTGAAAGAACAAGGTTCTTTCTGGCTTCCTACTTCGTTTCTAGCCCAGCAGTACAGCACACCGTACCCGTACAGAGTATCAGGGCGGTAGTACACTTCGGCATACGTTCCATTCCACTTAAATGATGTTATCTCGATTATCTCCAGGGAGTTGTTGAAAAACCACATGTACGAGACATTGGATGGAGTAGCTTCAACGTCGCATGTTACCAGTATGGATTCGTTTGGAGCAACGGCGTAAAGTGTCTTCTGATCTTCCTTACATACAGGGGTATCTAAAGCATAACCCAGTTTAATTGTGAAAACTGACATATAATATAATGATATTAGTATGGCCTACTATAATGATTATGTAAAATA